GTTGGCGATCCGCGTACGCGCGATCGGACGGCCCAGATCAAGCGTGCGCACGGACGGCCCAGATGCAATCGCACGGACGGCCCAGATTCAATCAAAAACGGACGGCCCAGATTAAATCAAAATGGACGGCTGAGATCAAAAGGCAAAAGGGTATAAATAGAACCCCCACACCTGACCACAAAAACCCTAGCCACCTGCCCTCGCCGGAGAAGACGAACCAGACGCCGGAGACGCCGACCGCCGCCACCCGCCGCCGGACTGGGAGATTTCTGACCGCCGATCGAGGTAAATTTCATACCCCCGACTTGTTTTTCCACACTGATTTCCCCTGTGGCCAAATCGGAGCCAAATCCCGGCCAAATGCCGAAAACACGGCCGAAACCCAGCGGCGCTGCCGCGCCCCTCCTCAGTTTTTGCCTCCGATGAGGCCCTTCCCGGCCTCCGTTTGATACAATTTTTATATCACCGTGATCACCATTCTTTTCTCTACAGGTTGATCGGACCCAAATCACCAAAACACGAACCTCGCCGGAGAGCCGCCGCACCCGATAGCACCGCCGCCGGTAAGCTTCGGTTTTTCGTAATTTTTTAGCCCCCCGAGGGCCCTAGGGTTGTTTTATCGCAGGTACCGATGCAAGTGTGGCCGAATTCGGCCAGAAACAGCCGAAAACGGCCAACTCGAGGTGAATCGCCGCCGCCCGATGCAAGTGTGGCCGAATTCAGCTGGAAACGGCCGAAAACGGCCAACCCGAGGCGAATCGCCGCCTTGCCGGAATTGCGATATTGGCCGAAAGGGGCCCTGGGTCTAATTTGGTATTTTTTGGGAGACGTGCAGGTACCAGTAGTGCGTTTCAGTTCCCCAGAAAAAATTCAGAAAAAATTAGGGACAGCCTGTAGGCGCACCGTAGAGCCGTATTCGGACTCCGAAACAAGTAAGGACCCCTCACCCTATTTCCTATCACGGTATTAAAGTTCAATAAATGATAAAACGATATTTCATGAATCAATAGATGTGTGAAATTATTTAAGATCGCTAATGGAGCCCGAGTCTGGTGTGTTTGTCGGTTAGCTGTTGTTTGGCCTATTTTACGGTTTTAAATGCAGTATGAGGTCTGATGTTTTCATTTCATAGTTTCGTGTGCATATATTACTGTTTTATTGATTATGGGTTGAATGACTGAGAACCCGATGTTGTATATCGTCTTGTTTGGCATAAATTACTGGTTTGCTTGTTTGTGTATGTGAATTGATGATGCTGACTGAGGAAAAGGGAAATGAAAGGTTATGTAAATTGATAATTATATAATGTGGTCAGTCTGACTAGATATCCTGGGAGATGGTGGACGGACCGGGTCCGTAGGGAACCCTACCGGGATTGTGGTCTCTCATACCGGACGGGGTATGGAGACCTTATGTGTTTTGGCGCCCATACCGGATGGGGTATGGGGACGGCCCGTTTCACCCTCATACCGGACGGGGTATTGAGGTTTATAGTTTTGGCGCTCATACTGGATGGGGTATGGGGACGGCCCTGGAATCTGATTACAAGTGTTAAGGGTTCACGGGTAGCGGGACCCCTATGGATCCCCATGGATACTAGTAGGCTGGTAAATGAGGAAAAATATGTTGTGTAATGATTGAATTGCAAAAGGCGTGATAAGTATTATGTTATACAGCTCACATGATTTCATGATGATGATAATGTTATTGCTTTCGTATATTGTTTTATGAATTTCACCGAGGTATGTGGATAGTAAAGGATTTTATTATTGATAAAAGAATTTGTTGTAAATTATGCTCCATTGGTCTTTTTGTGTTTTCTACCCACCTTTACCTCTGTGACGGTGAGATAGTGTGATGTCTTTACTGGGCTGGTGTAGCTCATTCCTTATTTAATCATTTCAGATCAGGAAGACATTGTTCCCGAGCCCGTTCCACAGAAAGACGGCGAAGGGGACGTCTGAAGACTCCGTAGTTATATTTATAGCTTTTATTTTCGAGTTTCTCTTTTAGTTAGTTTGTTCTTTTATACTTTGAGCACGTTTTTTGTTTTAGTGTAAGGGATGTTAATCAAATTTTTATTACGCTTCCGTATTTGACCTTTTTAATATACATATTTCATTTTAAAATTCCGGGGCCGTTACAGAAAATTAAATGTAAACAAGTTTTTTGTGAAAATAATCTACGGTGACGGGGTACGCTGCTAACCAGTTCATTCTTAGGATTACATCAAAGTCCCCTATGTCAATCTTTATCAGGTCAATACTCAATTTCCTATCTGTTATGTTTATGATACAAGTTTTGTATATAGCCTCCCATAATAGTGTCATATTTCAAGGAGTAGATACAAACAATATAGAATCAAGTCTTTCAAGTGATACGTTTAAATTTTGTGTAAAAACATGTGAGACAAACGAATGTCAATCACCAGTATCAATCAAAACATATGCAAAATAATTACAGATAGTGTACGTACAATGTATCATG